AAGTACAGTCATATACCTCGGTACTCGTCAGCTTCAGAACTCATCAAACCCTGTTACCACATTCTGACGAGAAAAAAAAGTCTCAGCACTCCTCACTTGCTCAAGAGTCAGTCGCACTTCCTAGAACTTATATGAGTCACAATGCCACCTTCAAGAGAAAATGCTTCATTGTTCAGTCTTGTCAGTTTTGACACTTGCCACGAGTTCCAGATGAACTGACGATGACAACTGAGGTAACACTGTACTGGGGAAAATGCAGCCCGGCTGCAGCTCTTATCTGATTAACCTTTTTTTCCAAACCCCTTACCTATGCTTTCTTCTCCTTATAAAAAGGTCAGCTTGAGATGAGAAGCTAGCAGGGTTTTGGAGGTTGAGTAACTCACCATCTTCTCACATCACCAGCATCTGAACAAAGCAGCCATAAGAAATTCAATCTTTGTCTCTACTTTCTGGTTCTGGTAGTGACAGGCAACATGATGACTTTTCCAGTTTCAGTTTTAATATGTATTTAACCTCAAATAAATTCTTTAAAGACAGTATTAAGCCTCAGACCGAAAATTTAGTCTTCACCGCTTACTAACCAATTTTCATTTGTATTATTAATTTATTCACTCGCACATTCTTTCAAGAATTTATTGAGCACTGTACAGAGATTGCTTGCTGCCTGTTCCAACTCCACACTCCCTCTTTGAAAAGGCTCGACTTTCAGCTGGACACATGAATTTTGGCATGAGAACCTGATCCCAAGTTTCCCTTTCAGCGAGACTCTTACCACCATGGGGTGGAGAGGTGGACACCAGAAATGCTATGTGGAAGCTCCTGAGAAATATCCTTAAAAAGCAGTTGATCTGTATACTTTGCCCAGTGTTCTCACTCTCCTCCACCCTGCTGTTCAGAATGTGGTTCTGATGAAAGGGCCTATTTCTTGCACACAAAGATAAGATCCACATCCCCTGGATGACAAAGCAGAAGCAGCAAGCAGGCCTGAGGACTCCGTGGATCAGAGCCGCCATGCCCACCCTAGACCGCCTACCTCCAGACTTTAATGCAAGAGAAAAAAACAAGGTCCTCTCTTTTAAAGTCACCGTTACTTGGGGCTTTTATATTACTTGCAGTGAATCTTAATCCTAACTGATATGACCACAGTTTGGAAGATTAGACATGTTAAAATAAATACAAGCTGAGTAAGGCAAAATTCCTGCCCATGACCAGGTTAAAATTTAGCAATGCATACTGAAGTATAAAGAGCACCAGAGTGCGTAATGACTTTTTGTCTGTTATGTTTTCAAACCAACTCCCTTCTTCTGGTAAAAACCACCACTTTCCTTTGGAAAAATTCTTCTCTCATATCGTGAGATCACGCTGTAATCCCTGTAGCCCCCACTCCCGAGCCATCTCCAGTTATGTGGGCATGAGGGGGAAGGTGAAATGTATTGTAATACAAGCCTAGCCAATTTAAGTACTAGCCACTGTAACTGATTCAGAAAGAGCGCATGTATTAAACGTGGCTATTCATTGTAGAATCCAGCCGTACTAACAGATGAATCCAGCCACTGCAGGATGCATAACAAAACAACACACAACTCAGTGCTCACGACAGCAAACTTGTAACACGGCCTATAGGTCAACTAGGCCTGCTCAGCTTTAAGGCTGCAGATTAGACCCAGGTCTGCTCCACAGGTCTCCCATCCTGCTCAGACCAGTAACTACCTGATTGAAGTTCTCATGGCATAGGGCAGAGAGGCACAAGAAGCCACACCGAACCATATAAACACATTTAAGGTTAGCTCATGTCATGTCCATTAATATTTTAATGTGCGTTACCAAACAGCAAGTGAGGGCACACTGCCTGCCGCCACCCTAGAGGCAAAAACCTAGAGGCAATGATTTGGTGATAAAAGGAGGGAGTCTTTATTCAAAAGCTACACAGTTTTGGAATAACAGCTTCTCACATGCTTTAATCACTTAAGCTTATCAATTAAGGCTAAAATCTTTAACTCTGAAATTCCCCTATTATTCCCCCTGTTAGTTTTCAATTATCTTATTTCTATAGGATTAGTTTACAAACTAAAACAACATAAGATATAAAATCTACACAATTTTGGAAGAATGGCAGGCTTCTGCCTCAAAGCCCATCCCCACCTGAACACCCAAAGAAGAACAACCCTGCCACATTCTGCCAGGCCAGCCTGATCATAGGCAACTGTATGGATGGGCATTATGCTAAGTGAAATAAGCCAGTCAGAGAAAGACAAATACTACATTATTTCACTTACATGTGGGATCTAATGAACAAACTGAACTAACTAGCAAAACAGAGAGACTCCAATGGAGAGCAGATGACAGTGAGTGGAGGGGGAAATTAGGGGGTGGAGGGACGGAGCAAAAAGGAAAAAGAACTCATGGACATGGTCAACAGTGTGGTGACTGCTGCAGGTTGGGGGGTATAAAAGGACTAACTAGTAATGAAAAAATACAATAAAGATTAAATTTTAAAAAGATACCATCCTTTGGGAAATGTACACAGCTGCAACACAATCATCCAGGCATCCTCAAGAATGAGATAACACATGAAGAAAAGCTAAGACAGTGGAGGGAGAGATAGATGGATACACATACTAAGCATACTGAATTCTTTACTTTAAAATAGGACCATGCCAGAAAAATGACCAGAAATAACAGTAGCATAAACAGGAGTTGTGCGGATTCAGGAAAGTAAAATGAGATATTTTTTGTAGCACTCATGTGAATGATGAGTAAAGATTATTTTCACCCTAGCAGACATAAGTATGATTTTCAGGAAAGAAGATTATGTAAACTCTCTAGCAGTCGCTGCTGGTTAATTCACCCAATCTCTTTCCCTTGCATTCTGTCACAGAGGCTAAAAAATCTAAATACTCACTCTCCTAGTATTCACTGTTGTCATACAAATTCTGGTGATCCCATATAAGCAGAAATCTGCTGGAGCCTCTCAGGAAAGCTTTTCCTTTCTTATGAAAATCAAAGAGACAGCGTCCTCTCCCACTTCTCCCTACCTCTGCTACCTCTGTATTCTTGCCTGGAAGAAAATATGTTGCCTAATTACAAGGCAGCCATTCTCGACTCTTGGAGAAAGACCAGAATAGTTACAGAGAGGGAAAGTCTTCTTGATAACAATGAGCCACTGAACCACTGCAAGCAGTTGGTTCTTCTGACCTGTTCAGTGAAACAAATAAAACCTTACTTATTTTGGATACTGTTACCAGATTTTCTGTTATTTGCATCTGAAAGGATTCCTAGCTGATTTAAGCCTAAATCAAGGTACTATGTGGTCAGGAATCAATAATATACCTAATCTTTGTATATCACTTAACAGTTTATAACACATTTTTCACATTTTACTAAGTTACTAGATTAGAAAGGATTGCAGTTAAAGGTAAAACCCTTGACTATCCAAATAAATAAAGTTTTATCAAATGACAGCCAACTGCAAAGTCCATTGTAACTGTCTGCATGCTGAAGAGATTTGTGTATTACTGTCCTGAGAAAAGCAAGAAGCCATGGTAAGTTTTTGAGGAGGGAGTTTCACCTGTGTTTTTTCAGAATAGGCTTTGAACAGACTAAAAAAAAAAAAAAAAAAAAACCAGATTGAAGGCAAAGAAATTGGCAAACAAAACAAAACAACCCCAAACTCTTGTTTGGTGAATAAAGGATCCACTGACAAAAATAACAAGGGATTCTAGCCACGATGGAGTAAGTAGTACTAGGATATTTATTTATAAGTTAGAAAGCAGTGCAAAATAGATGAAATATCTATTTTCTGACACTGTGGCACACAGCAAAAATGTGATCCCAACTAGAAAAGAAATAAATGAGATGATTTCTACAATCATTCTGATTTAATGACTGGCGGTACTTTCACACCATGGTCCACGCAGGAAGATCCAAAGATGGGCTAACAAGACAAAAATTGAGTTTGGGGATTATGAAATATATGGAATTCGCAATACGGGGTGCTAGAAAGAAAGAACTATACACAGAAAGGATTTCGGGACTCTAAGTCTTTGCCTGAATATTAACATGTGTCTATGTAGGGTAAATGTAACCAGTTAAGTTGCATGTGATGCTCTAGAAAATAACTGCTTTTTACACCAGCAGCCTTGGGTTCAAGGCCCCTCAATTTCTGATAATCTGGGTTACTACCTGTAGGCTACAAAATGAGAGAACTGTTCCAGTTTCCTTTCTTCAGCTATCGTGAGGATTACAGTAGAAAATGTTAAGTGAAAGTAGTTACGTGAACTCTAACTTACAAAAAAAAAAAAAAAAGAATGACGCAGAAGGAGCAAAACGAGAGTAGATCTTTCATTACCCAATTTTTAAAAGGAGCGGGACTTAAATTAAGAGGTGCGGCTCTGGGATTATCCCAGTGGGCGTGCAAGGAATGTGCCATATAATAAGAAAGGGGTGCCCCATTTCAAATAAACCGTAATATATAAGATTTTGTATTCGGTATTACCCCTCAGTTACGAAACTTGAAATACGAACTTTTCCCTCATTACATACTCCAACTGCCACCTAACTAAAGCTCAGTGACAGTATTTTGCTTCACTCTAATATTTTCAAATAAAGTCCGCCCCACGCAGCTCCATCCCTTTCTCGCATCCACTCGTCACTTTTCCGCCCCGCACACAGTGGCCCCCGCCCGGGGGGCAGGAGTTTCCACTACGATTCGAAAGGTGGTAATGGACTCCTCTATCTGCTTGACGGAGGCGGGGGCGTACGAAGCGCCGTTTTCCAGAGAACGCTAAGACACCCGGGAGAAGCCACGGGAAATCAGAACGACATGCAAGTGGAAGACTCGGCATCAAGGCTGGAGGGGGCAGACGCGAGGCCCGCGGCCACTGTCCTAGGGCGCAACTTTAGCCTCAGCGGCGCCACCACCCCAGAGCCTTCTGAGGATGGCACGTGCGGGAGGGGGCGGAGCCCCGCGCTCGGCGGCCGCCTCCGCTGCGGCCGGAAACAATAGTGCAGAAGCCCGAGCCGCACAGAAGGGCTGCGGCGGCGCACGGAGTTGGACGGTAAGGACCCTGCTCCCCGCTCTCCGACCTGTTTGTGCCTTGGTCCGCGGTCTTAGCGCTCGGAGTTCGCGTTCCCTCTGACTCCCCGGCGGATGGACGGAAGCGAGACGCTTTCGGGACCGCGGCCACTTGAGCGGCGGATGGAGTTCCCAACGTCGGAGGCTGGGCTTGGGACCGACTCCCCTAGGCGCTGAGTCCGGCAGACCCACAGCTGTGGTCCTCCGACCATCACTGCGTGGGCGGGAACCCAGGGCGAGGGAAACACACGGCTCCTCCCAGCCCGACTTAGCCACCCCGCCTCTGGCTGGTGCCTGACCTGCACCGTGGAGCGGCTGCCGGGCTTTGGACACTGGGGTGCTTCGGAAGCGGGCGGGACGCTCTGCCCGGGTGTTTGCGTCTGCACGTGCGTTTTCCCGCCGCTGATCTCCGGGAAGCCTCCCTACGCCGAGTTAACGAAACACATCTAAGACAACGAAGTTAACAAAACGGGATCCGGAACAGGTCGTTTTTCTTTCATTGAACTGCGTTAAGTAAGTTGACAGACCCCGGCAGCGGAAAGGCCTCTCTGCTGTTCTTTTTGCGTGCGTTCCGGGGGATGGAGAAGCGGATCAGAATCCCCGCCAATCGCTTTCTTTCAGATACCCATCTCAACCAAATGAAATACAGGACCCAAAAAAGCCTTGGGTATAGTGTCACCTATGGCAAGGCTTTAAGTGTTACTAGGTTTGTGTCTGCACATTGAAATTCAAGTATGGCGATACTTGTTTGATGGGCTATTTCATTAGATAAACTTAACAGCATCCCTCTCTTCCTAGAAGTTCCTAGTGTTGCTGTAAGCCCTAAGGGCAAGTTTTTGAAAATGCGTTAACTTCCCTTTTCTGTTTCTTAATAGGGGCACTATGAACCAAGAGGAGCACTTTGTAAACATTGATCTGAATGATGACAACATTTGCAGTGTTTGTAAACTGGGAACAGACAAAGAGACACTCTCCTTCTGCCACGTTTGTTTTGAGCTAAGTATTGAGGGTAAGTACAGAGTATAGATTCATTTTATGGCATGAGCTTTATACAATTTCTTTGCATGAACCTACTTAAAAGGTAAAACGTAAATTGCGCCAAGTATGAAGTGTGGTTATTTGTGAAAGATAAGGGTTTATGGAAATGAAGCTGTAGTTGGCATAGCCACTAATTTAAGAAAAATTTTTCTTTAAAAACTTAACACAGTACTAACTACTTATACTAAAAACTGATGGCACATGCTTTTTGCTTTGAGAGCTTATGAAATTGTCAGATTTTTACAGACATTTGTGTATGTGCATGTGTTTGTGTTTCATTTTGTTTTAACATTAAGAGCTAAGGTAACCAAACATTTACTTTGGTGGACAAATGTCATTTAATACCATTCTAGTATCTAGTGGTGAGCTAGAACTCTTTTCTTAGTGCTGTCTTATTATCTAGAAAAAGATTTTTAAATGTTTAGATAACCTCTTTTCAGTGGTCTCACACACCTTTAATAATTTTTATATATATTAAAAGGCTTTTGAAATTTCTTTAAAAAGAGCTCTCCAAATACGAAAAAACCAAACTCTGTTATTGAAAACTCTGTATTTGTTTGGATTAGTGCATAGTTAATTGTCTCTAGAAAGCACTAGTTTGGTCCCAAGAAACATGAAAAATGTTTTTTTTAATCTTGATGTCATGATAAAACTCTGATTTGATTTAATTTTATTTTATTGTTTGTGCTATTACAGTTACCGCCACTTCTTCTAAAACTCTTGATTTTAAAAAATATTTGAGTCACACTAAAAAAGAATCTTAATATTCTGGAAATAAAAAAGGTTGCCTGTCATTTGAACTTTGAATTGTAACATCAGAGAGATTTTGTTAGACCTGTAAATTTTGGTTTCAAAGCAGTTTTTCATTCTTTTTGCTGCTTTGCATATTTGAAAATCTTCATTTTCTTTACTTGTAAATTAAGTAGGAGAAATAAAATGTTCATATCTTTTAAAAAAGAAAGAAAAAACACATTAGGGTTATTTACTTTGAGATTCCTATTAGGACTTTTCAGAAATTATTGTGGGCATCAAATCAATATATTTAGATACTCAATAGCAAAAGACAAAGTTATAACCATAAGTAGACTTCTAAAAACATGAGTTATTTATGTGACAGACATCTTTTATTTAAGATCATATTGGTTGGTTATGATAGTTTTCCTATTATATTTTCTATAGGAATTGTAGCTGCTGAGCAGGGTTATTGATGGAAGAGCATGGATTTCCTGTAGGTTTCCTGTTGGCTTTAATAAGTATAGTAAATATAACTAATTCTGAAGGGGTTACTTAAAAAACGTGATTCTTTGGTAGCATTTAAATGACCATGCCCTTCATCTTGCTAGAGTAAAAGATTATAGTTTTATGTTCTTTGGAAATAGAGTTGGCCTTATATATTCTCTTACTTGTAGATTTCAATTTTAGATGGGCAAAAACACTGGAAATGAGCTAACTCAAACCTGTGCTTTACATGGAAGGAAACAGAGCCAGATCGTTGAACTGTGCAGGGTTGCAGTAGTGGTGATGGCAAGCTATTGTTAAGTCGCAAGCATTTGCTGTGAGCAGTCCTGGGTCAGGCACTGTTCTAAGCACCTTATGTGGATTATCTTACTCAGCTTAAAATAGCTCTGGGATGGGGCACTTTTATCCATTTTAGAGGTGATGGGACCTAAGAAATACACTTTGAAATATACAGCAGTAATTGACAACCCTTGCCTTTGAAGCCTGATGATCTAGTTCCAGTATATGTGAGCTTAATTCCATTGATCTACTGTCACTAGTTATTTCAGTTGATAGGGCAAATATCAGAAACGTGTTTTCCTGAATCCTAACTGCCTACTACCATTGCTATTCTGTTAGCCAACTTTTCCTAAGTAGTGCTTCCTGCTAAATCATTAGGGACATTCATGCTGTGATAAAATTTTTCTATAGAAATAAAAAATTTCACAATTGCTTTTCTACCTTTTTTTTTTTTTTGGTATGTCTTTTAACTGGTTCTCAATCGTTATATAAAGAATAGACAAATATTTCTCAGGTACCATCTTTATTAATATTTCATCCCTGAAACATACCAGGGATGTGGCATAGCCATCTCAATAAGCATCACATAAGTCCTACATTTTTGATATAATAGTTGTCTTTAATTTAAAAGACAAAACCAGTTCTCAGTTTGAATTAAAACTATTTGATATTCTGTGTACACTCAAGGTTTTATGATTTTAATGCCAGTTATTCCTTTCTGAGAAAATTATTTTAGAATTAAAATTTCTTCTCAATTTATCTGAAGTCAGTTTCCTTGCAAATATAATACATTTTCATATTAACCACGTGGATGAGCTAGTGTGTTACAATTATTCCAGTATCCTAAGATTATTTTTTAAATCTTAGAAGTTTTAGGAAAAGAGAATTCCGCAAAATTTTAGTTTATCAGTGTACAGGTTTTTAGAAACCAATGGGGGAAAAGTGGTAAAATAATTCCATACCTGAAAATAACAAAGCATATTCTTTTCTATGTCAGTAACCATTTTTAAATGTTTTTGCAGTTTCCTTTCTTCTATCATGTTCTCAGCGTAGTGCCAACCAGTAAATGTCAGACCATAAGAGGAACTTCACAAAATGTGACATTTACCTTTACTTATTCAGTACAGCTTTTTTTATAATATGGTAATGTTGATGTTGCCTGGTTTCTTAGCTTACTAACAGCTAAATTCATTCTACAGCATTCTTTTGTTTTTTCCAGCTAAGAGGCTAGTTAAAAATTCTTTTAAGGAGCTTTTAGGTTAGCTCATTTGTTTTGTTTTTTTGTTTTAAATTTATTGAGTTGGCATTGGCCAATAAGATTACATGGGTATGAAGTGTAGATTTCTATGATAAATGACCTGCATGTTGTATTGTGTGCTCACCACCCAGAATCAGGTCAACTTCATCACCATGTATTTGGCCCAAGGCTATAGTATCTGAGTCCACAGTTAGCCTATTTTAGAGTTCACACATTGGTAACAAACAAAAACGTTTTACACTTTTTAAAAAAAGGTTTTATTTATTTCTAGAGAGAGGGGAAGAGAGGGAGCAATATCAGTGTGCGGTTGCCTCTCACATGGCCCCCACTAGGGACCTGGCCCACAACCCAGGCATATACCCTGACTGGGAATCGAACCCATGACACTTCAGTTCACAGCCCGCACTCAATCCACTGAGCTACACCAGCCAGGGCCAAAAGTTTTATATCTTTTGTTGCTTATGTCAAGTCAAAACTGGTCTGATCAAATGGCCTCATGTTTAAAAGCTGTATGCCTGCATATATGTATGAAATGAAGAGAAAAGAAGAAAGAAAAATAACAAAAGACGATCTAATCTTGTAGGAAAGATTTTGTATTCTGAGCATGGCTCTGAGTTGCCTTTTTTCTGTGACTTTATGGTAATTAAAGGAAATGGGTGTCTATATTTTATATATTTATTAGACACCGACTTCAAAGACCTAAGAATTATACTTTGAAGACTTAAATATTTTTAAATGTTCACAAGATTTTTTTTTTGTTACTGCAATTCACCATGAAAATAAATTGTCAGCCCCAGCTGGGTTGCTCAGTTGGTTGGAGAGCATTGTCCTGATACACCAGGATTGCAGGTATGTCTCTAATCAGGACACATACAAGAATCAACCAGTGAATGCATATAAGTGAGTGGAACAACGAACAAATGGATGTCTCGCATTCTCCACAGCACCCTCTCCTTCCCTCTCTCACCCCTCACCCTTCTCTCTCTCTTTAAAATCAATAAATAAAAACTTTCAAAAAGTTTTCTCTCTCTGTCTACATTTAGAATTAAGAGACAGATGCATAAACTTCTTAGTATAGATAGCCTGTTCTTGGCCTTAAGACACTATAAATTTTTTACGAGTATATGATCAAATACACTAATATGTATTATAGTTCATTGTGCTAAAATTTTCAGAAGTTCTGTAACGACCAAATTACTACTGTCCCTAAGTTGTTGAGGCTTAGAAGAAGGTGGCCCAGGGTGTCAGGAGCCAGATGAAACTCAGTAGTAATCTGACAAAGTTAGAAATGAGACTAGAGAGGGAAATGCTCCAGGGCTCCAGTCTGTTACTTCGTGCTATTTGTTTTTATTTTGTGCCAAAATGCCCTGCAAATAATTATTATTTTTACCTTTCCCTAATAATTTGCTTCTTTCTGTTTCTGCAGAGACACTTTTTTATAAGACTGGGTCAGTTCCCCTTGTGCTAAGTGAAGTTTCCACTGTAAGCTGATCTTGCTAGTTGATTAGTATGAATTACTAATGCTTACTGGTCCACCTCAGTCAGACTTTGTAGCCCATCTCAGTCTTTTTTTTTTTTTTTAAGATTTTATTTAGAGAGAGGGAAAGGGAAGGAGAAAGAGAGGGAGAGAAACATCAATGTGTGGTTGCCTCTCACACACATTGTCCCCGTATTGGGGACTTGGACCACAACCCAGGCATGAGCCAACTGGGAATTGAACCAGCGACCCTTTGGTTCTTAGCCTAGCACTCAACCACTGAGCCACACCAGCCGGGGCAGTCCATCTCAGTCTTTATTCTCATCTAATTTGTTGGATTTTTCCTGAAGCCAGCCCAAATTCAGATCCTTAGTAATCTTTTCTAGAAGAGTCTGGGGGTGTTTTCTCTTGGTTGGGGCACTGGTGAACCTAATGCTTATGTATAATCCATTCTTGATTCTCTGCGTCTTTGCCTGAAGTGCTGTTCACACGGTCAGTAGTCAGGGAGCAGTTTGAGTCTCAATTTTAAATTCTTGAGGTAGTTTGGAAGTCAAGACTACTTGAAGTCTTATCAATAACTCTTCCGCTGTCCTGCTTCTGACACACTAGTATCTTTTTTCTGAAGTAAAAGTGGCCGCCACTTGTGATAGGAAAGCTGTATATAGGTAACTCCATCTGGTATTAGCTTCTTCCCCTTTTTTGCCATAATGGCAAACAT